CCTTGCAGAAGGAATGCGGATTTGATTGGGACATTCACTGGAACAATCGTAGAATTCGGGTACACGTATTGTCCTTATTGGCTGAATGCGATAACATTGATGAATCGGATCATATAGCACCGCGTGAGGGAAGAGTTAAGTGGTGCGAACGAAGTTCCCCTCTTGCTCCTGTGCCACCGCTCTGGACTTCTTTCCAGCTCTGCATAGTAAATGGTTTAGACAAATAGTCTTTAATCAGCTGTCGATAATAAAAGGACAGGAAATTAGAGATTACATCGATTATTGTTTGGAAAGTGTTGCGTGACAATCACAGATCGTGAGGAAGACTGCTAACACGTTCGCTGTCACCGACGCAGCATATACTGTTCAGAATGTATTGCCCAGCAGGCCATTGATTTTCTAGTTAGAGATTACATCGATTATTGTTTGGAAAGTGTTGCGTGACAATCACAGATCGTGAGGAAGACTCTGCTAACACGTTCGCTGTCACCGACGCAGCATATACTGTTCAGAATGTATTGCCCAGCAGGCCATTGATTTTCTAGACTCAGCAAACGTGTTAAAAACAACCAAGGACTATAATCGCAATTGACAAGGAAGGAGAATGGACGAAACGAGAGTAAGCGAGACACGTGGTGCGTGAAACAGCGACGGTTAAGATCTGGCATCTGACAGGGATGCCGTCTGCGTTGCAACGATTCATCCACTATCAAAAATTTCAATTTCAATGAATTGGTAAGGTTTTCCTGATAAAAATGAGTCTAAACACGACATAAATCAAAGTAGTTTTATCAGTCATCAATTTAAATATACCGGATTTTTAAGAATGAATGCAAGGATGTTGTTAACTACTTTTAAGGCTAAGTCGATGGTATGTCGTTTTTGAACTCATTTTCATCGGGAGATCCTCACCAAGTCACTAATACCATCTTCATAAAGATACGATGAAAATTATAAAAATGACTACTAGTGGATTACTCATCTGTTACCGACTGTGTGCGCGAAGCTCGATCGTCGCCTATTAGTCATAGAAGAGTAAGTGCGGAGGCCTGATGACTATAACGAGCGAATTGGTTCCAAAAAAAGCCATACGTATGTATATAAATGCAGCAAATAAAAGGGAAAGGCTTCAGTACGCAAAGGAGTATACTATATCAAAGGGATCTAAGTGGTGAGATAATGTTATTTTTGCCGATGAGCAAATTTAACATCTAAGGCAGTGATGGAAAAATGAGAGTTCGAAGAAAGCGGATCTGCAACGGTATGTGGGTGCATTTATTCTCACAGAGTGCGCGAATTAGTGTTTATTGATGACGTTTCAGATAAAAATAAATTCTTCACTATTCTAGAAAATAATTTAGTTAAAAAATACCTCCAACATGGAGATTGGAGAGAGATTTAAATTTTATCAGGACAACAGACTGAAGCATAAAGCACGGATCCTGCAAGAAATTTTATTATATCATTGCTCAAACGTTCTGCAACAATCTCCGCAATTTCCTGACTTGAACCCTATTGAATTGGACCGAAATATTCCAGAGACTGTTATAAATTCGAAAATAGAATTTAAAACACGCCTTAGGGCAGAATGGCTGCATATTGATGTTAATTATTTGAAAAAAATTATTTCTAACATGTCAACACGTTTACAGCATATTGTGCAGCAAAAAGGATATTCCACAAAATATTAATTTTGTTGGAATCCGGGGAGGAAAGTAGATATCGATTATACTTTAGAAATACAGTGTTTATTTTGGCGATGATACTTGCACACGCGGAGTCCGTATGACAATGCGCGAACTTCACGAAGAGAAGAGAACGTTGGTTTTTGCTGAGACGTGTATTAGACCGACCGCTCTTAACACTTTACCGACTGGTAGCCTATTAATCGGCTGTTTGCCGCCAACACTTACCGACCGGTAGCCTATTAATCCATTTTTTTTTCGCCGACGCTTACCGACCGATAGCCTATTAACCAGTCAAAGTTTGATTTAATATTTCTACAGGTATAAGAAAAAGCGCGTATATTAGCCTAGCGTATTAGCCTAGAGTCTAAACAGAGCCGGTGTCACCGATGTATCTGTGGCCGAGTGACCGGTCGAAAGTGCGTAAATGTTCAACCTCTACCGGTCGGTAAAGTGGTTTACTGTACTCGCTTGGTTTCTATAATGATGTTCTAAGGGATTTTTCGGGTATACTTATAAGGAAGGGATTTGGGGGAGAAGGTGAACTTGGTTCTGGTGACGAATTGCTGGACAGGACTTTGAAGGGACAGTCAGCGATCGATGAGTAACTTGTTTTTCGGCGTTATGGGGTTAATCTTAAGAGTGACTTGGTGACTCAATGTCAATAGGCGGTTGGTTATCCAACAATTTTCGATTAAAAATTGTTATTTTATGTTTATAAATTTAATTTATATACTGTCCGAATATTTTTGTGATCTCAGAATTAACTATTACTGCATTTCTTTATTTAAACAAATATATGTACTAAATAAATAGTATAGGAATGTTTAATTAAAGACAGGTATCGTTCACGAATGATAATAACAATAACAGTTTATTGTATAACATAGTCTCAATAATAACAATAACAGTATTATACAATAACAAATTCTCAATGACTTTCGCTCTGATGCTCTGACTCTCAATGACGCGCACGCATCTCGTTCACCCTATTGTATTCTTCAATCCCTCGTTCTCTATTTATTTAGCTTTTTCTCTATTCGCGGACATTCTCAAAACGCATTCAGTCACGTCCATCGAACTTTTTGGCGATCACTCACTCTTCGTTCACCAGATACTCTTGCTCTCTCGTCCCAGACACTTATCATTCGCACTTCTATCGCTGGAGCTCAAGTATTCTTCGTTCATTCAGCTATCGTTTTCAACTAAGCATTCACACGAGATATATGTAGGTACTCTTCATTCGCACCTCTATCTTTCTAGTTCACACACTCGTTATAATTATTCTTATAATCTAGCATTCCTACAATAGTTTTTGAATTTTTGTTAACTAGAAAGTATAGTTCAACGTAGTAAACATTTTTTGTTTATTTTATATTCACATAAAATACCGAACAGAATATTCGAAATTATACTGGCATCCGAATATTTTTGTGATCGACTATATTTTCGTTTAGCTAGGCGTATAGCCCATTTTGAGACGAATTCCTTGACATGTTCCCATGATATGTTGGTCTTTCAAGGTTGCAGCAAATTGCATTGCTTTCAAAAAATCTGAAAAAAACTGAGGATAATAGTTATGTTAAGATGTTGTTACTAAATAAATATAAAAGTAGTCGCTTCAATATTTCAAAAGATATCCGCTTTTCTTTGCGTTTTTTATTTCTTACAACTAGAATTTGCAAGGAAAAAATCAGAAAAAATTCCCTAACATGTACCTTCATATACACAATATGTCAGATTTTTCAAAATTTTTGCGTATCACTAAATAGGAAAAAAAGTCCAAAAACTGATGAACATAATTCACCCTGTAACTGCCCCCTATGTCGAACGAGAGGGTTGAAAGTTTGCGCCAAATGCTTTCTTTCGGTAAGCTATGGAATGGTATATCGCACGACCTAATTATTGGTGCAAGGGTACTTTTGACTATCTTATTCTACTAGACCCTTTGCATTAAGGAAAATAATATAGGAAGAAATTAATACCTAATAGAAAATTAAATAGAAGTTTAAAAAATTAAGTATAAAAATGTTTAAAAAAATAAAAATACTTAACTAAATATCATAACAATTTATTTTGTTTTTTTCACTACCATTCAATTTTTTAAAATTTGCTTTAATATTTTCAACAGTCATCTTCTCCGGTCAACAAAATAAAAACAGTTTTCTGGTCATCCACTGAAGATAGATTTTGAATGATCTTGTAACGGATGGTTATAAATATTCAAGTGCGCGTTTTTCTTTTTGCTTTTCTTATATACTAATTTGTGTAGGCGTCTCGATGTTGAGGCTCTACCTCAACATCTCTCCTGGCAAGAAGGTGGAAATTTCTTGGATTTCCCAGGAACCGTGCGTGTGACTCAGCACGTTCTGTTTGTCCTGGCGGTAGCGGGCCACGGTTTATGGTAGCTGTCTTCGAGGGGCGTTTATGTGACCGTGAGCCCTTCGCGCGTTATAAAATAATTTTTAGCAATTAAGGTTTTTAACTTGCAGTAAAATTCATCGAGGACTTCCCTCGATAGCTGCAAGCTAATTTCTGCTAACGGTACTCATAAACCGTGCTTCGCTACAGTCTTAAAGAACTTTGAATCAAATCATAGATTAATGAATTCGTCTTAGAATGGGTTACACGTCTAGTTAACTGCATTAAAAGCTACAGTTCCATTATAGTTCCCTTAAAAAAAAAAAGTCAGCTTAAAATCTCGGAGGCACCTTGACAAGACTACTATCCATCGTAAGATGTTCCCCTCGAGACAAAGTAAGTTTTATTTGAGAGATAATTGCGTATTTAGATTAAAATGAGACACTATAATTCTCGACAGTGACCACTCTCGAATCAACTCTCCTCTGATTCGATGTGAAGTGGCTCGTATATCATCTCTCCCTCTCCCTTCCCCTCCCTTTTCCTCACCCTCTCTTTACCACATAAAAATTAAAGTCGTACCTACAAAACCTGTAGTACACCCCTCCATGGATTCGTCGATTAAAACCAGTAGTGTACCGTTTTTAACTTTCTCGTAGATATTAATGAATTAAATACATATATGTTACATTTGAAAAGAAATAAAGATGTAAATGTATCACGAAATAAAGAAATAAACATATTGTGCTGTGTGATAATCCTTTAAATGAATGCCTTTTCATTAAAAAGACTGAGAGACGAGATAGTTTCTTTACGAGCTAAACTTAATGGAAGTAATGTCCGAGATTTTTTCGCAGGAACAGTTGTTCAGTCAATAATTCCAACACTCGGTACTAATGATTAATAATACTGGAAATACTTTGGTATGAAAATAGTCAGAGAAATTGTAAAATTGTCTTTCTTAAACTGCTATAAAACAAGTAAAAGGTTAGTACTCATTTATGTTGCATATTAAAATAAAAAAAGTGACAGTAATTGAGACATGTTATTACACATCTTGTACACATTTATATCCCGAATATTTCAATAATAAAGTAATCATTTATGCGATATGATATCGAAGTACAGTTTAATATCCTTTCTATATTAAAGCGACAATGTAAGTTATGAATTCTTGTAAATTATGAAACTTATACATTAAATTATTTTATTACGATTTATGTACAACTTCTTTTACGAAATATTTAATTGCCACAATTATTTATGTAATTGCAAAAACGATCTGAATTCAGAGCTTATAAACACATGTGTAATATAATTGTTAAAATGTTGTAGTGCATCCAAATTCAATGTTTTTCGATGTATCGAATGAGAACAATATCATGTTTGTTATTATATTTGGTAATTGGTTATTTGTGGTATTTGTCAGTACAGAGTATTCCATTAACAGAAATATTTATTAAATAGAGTAACGATAGTGCATTGATAGACATATGCAACAAATCATATTGAATTTATTTTTACCAGGATGCTTTAAAATGCTAAGCTCTATTCGTTGTTTACAATGATTCAAATATAAAACGGGATTTTTACAGACATAATTTTCAATCACATTTATTATGGGAATGTTTAACTAACGAAACTATAATAATAAGAATTAATATAAAACGGATTAAAAATATTGTTGATATTAATGCTTTCTGTAACGCATTCTATCTAATAACATTTACAAGCTTTTATAACGATACTTGTTACACAACTTTTTATGGAAAACACTACTGTTATAATAGAAATAATAGCATCATATACTTCTTAACTCTTGAAGCGAGTTGTTCTTATGTTAGTATTTTTGTTTATATTAACAAACATTTTACCGAAATTTATTTGGGATGTTTTACACCAACCATAATTATTGTATTTACGCACGATAAATTATTAGAATAATTACGGCTATAAATGTTAACCTTGGTACCTGCAATATAGTATTAACACTGAAGAAGAAAGTGAAGTAAATCCAATGCATCGGAAAGCTTGCAAGTTCGATTGTGTACAATGGACAGCTGTGACCAAGGTTTCGATTACTGTATTTCCTTCCCGTTGTACTCAATTACCGTGGATCGATTTCACGTGAAGCTTTCATATTCCAGTGACCTACTGTATTATTCTTATGCATCTAAAATTGGAAAATAAAAAATTAAGTTTGACAATCGAGTACAAAAAGAAGAGAAATAACTCTCCCCTTCTCTGATCTATCACCCATTCTTCATCACAGTTTCCGCATTCCTTAAAGTACATTTAAGAAATAGGAGAAAAAATAAAAATTTTATATTTTTAAGTAAGTCGTTGAAGTTATAAATAAGTGTGATTTGAAAATAATGCTTCATATTTTGAAAAGGAAAAATGACTATTTTGCGGTTATTTGATTGAAAGAATTTGGTCAATAATAGAATCCCTTTTCTAAGTACACTGTGTAAAAAAATTAACGGTCATGACTTTAGGGTATGAATCTAAACCTCTGGATGAGTGGACATTTCTAAAAAATCCTCGTCGCAAAATTGTTTATAACATTGAAAATTAATGTTAAATTTTTTCACATGAAAGGATTTGAAAGGAGCCATATGTTATAAAAAAAATAGTTGTCGAGATAAACGTTGATAAATATTTGACAACGATTTGATTGTGTAGAGTTATACGTATAGACTAGGGACCTACTACCATTCTGCCATTCGATACGATCTAGCCGCGTGACAGACGCTCGATATAACGGTATCCGTGCCCCTTCGCAAACAGGGTTCAAAAGGATAGCAAGATTTAAAGGATGCACTAAGTAGAAAGACACACCTGAACTAAGTGATCCTTTTTCCCTCACCTAATCAAATTGTAAATCTTCAATAGCGGAATTCGAAAGAAACGTTGTGAAATAGGTGTTAATCATTGAACTTTCCAAACCCATCACTTTGCAATATTTAATATATGTATAGCAAACTTATATAAAGAGTAAATGTTCCGATATTAAATATAATAATAATATTTTCTCTCACCAATTAGATGTTTTCACAGACTCTATATACCTCCTACTTCTTACCCACAGGACACTGCCATTTTCATTTATGTCGTGTAAAAGTCTTGTCCATCCACCAGCTTCTATTTGTCCACCATTATATACACAACTTTGTAGTCATCGCTTTATAACATTTAATATATAGAGTGGGCCACGCAACTTGCACACTTCGAATAACTTCTTAAGTATGCGTTGTATGAAAAATTTTTTTGGTACAAGAGTTGCATGGTTTGGAGGGGCATATTTTATAGTGTATGTACTTTTAGGTGGAAGCGTTTCGGAGACTTCAAGGACACCTGTGTTATTTTAAATGAAATTTATACCAAAATATCGAAAAATGTTCAATTCTGAGTAAAAAAGTATTGACCTTTATTAGCTCTAAACCTAATATTTAACATACGTATAACAGACATAGCTCGAGTATTGGTATTATAGAACTTTAAGCGAAAGTTCTGTGATGATATGTTTTCCGATTGTATCTACCCACATATTAACTGTAAAGCAACCTTGATTAAAGCGTTGCATTCCAGTATGTGTGCGTTTAGTACAATTTACGTCCAAGTTTGTGTATTCTGTCGATTTTGCAGCTTTGTACTTAAGAAACTGCTTTCGTCCATAAAAAACATATTTGCCAAGTGTTTAGCGCGGCGGTTTATGACACGAACGTGATGAAGAGGTTACTTTTGAGCTTAGGATTTTTGTTATTATTAGCCTGCGTTTCGTGCAGAAAAAATGTCCTGGTGAGAGAAAGTTGGGCTTACAACCTTAGAGTTTTTAGAAAGTCATTTCTCTCGTCCTCAATAGGACCATAACAATGGACCTTCCAAAAACTTCCAAGGAGTGAACATAGTTTAGTTGTAACGGTCAAGAGACCGACGAAGTCAGACCTGGTGGAAAAGCCTCACTGTTGCTAAACATCGCCACTTTCAGCTAACCATATTGCCACCCTCTCTCCAAGGTAACGTGTGTTGAGAGAGCAAGATCAGGGTGTTGCGATGTCACTTACAATTAGACATGCTGAGTGGCGTTTTGAGTTTTTCAAAAATCACCAATCAACGTGTGTTTAACGCACTTGAACATACTTGGCAAAGAGTAGTTAAACAGTACAGCTCCATAGCAACCAAGTAAGCTTAGCAATTAGGCTAGGCACGTAGCATCAGACAGAGTAAAATTTAACCTCCATGTTACATTATTGGCGTACAGGCCAGCAAGAAACGCTATAGCTTTCTTTGTGCGACTGGCGGTTTTATGAATAAATTTAGTTAAGCACAAATAGCTTCGTTCAATTCCCAATGGAATTAATCCTTTTCTTAATGGAATTTCAGATGGCACAGAAGGGTACAATATTCCAAGGGCAGTACGATAGTCAGTATCGTGCAGGTCCCCAACACTAAGAATTCTTCATTTGCGTGCCATTTTCAAAGCATTTAGATATTCCTGGCAGGATAATACTCTTCTTTCAATGCTTGGAACTCTCTCAGTTTTACGTGTCTTCCCCGTACTAGGTGTTCCGTCGCGCAGGTACGAAACGCATGGGGTCTTCGTTGACCGGGTTTATGACACGTCTTCGGTTATTGAGGACGCGGATAAGTCGAAATTCTAAAGGCATTGTTCTGTAAGAAATTACTTATTTTTTCGCGGAGCTACGAAGCGTCTTTGTTGATCAATTTGGGGTCAACGAAGACCCCATGCGTTCCGTACCTGCGCGACGGAACACTAGGACTTTGATAGTTTATATTGCTGGTGAAAATTGTTAATGGCACTTCACTTAGATAAGCGGTGATCTAGCCTTTGAAATTCCTTTCTATCGGGAATGTCTCTTATTTGCATTTGTAAATAATTGTCCCCCAGCCATTTACGATATATGAATGTTCCTCTCTGCTTGACTACGTTAATAGTACGTAACATTTGACAGACATTTCGGAGTATGATGTCGTTGCATAATGCACAAATATACACTAATAATAATAACACTTATCACGTACAATATACTGATAATAAAAATACATATTATGATGACAATGATGATAAAACTATTATTAGCACTATTTATGATACATTGTAATTACTATTATTTATACTATTACAGCAACTAAAAATAATAAGACTAAAAAGTCTAAAAATAAATGTCTGAAACGTCGTTAAAAATGTATGTGGAATCAGTGATTCCTTTGAGATGCTTTCTAAATCATTGTCAAAACGATTTTGATTTTATTCAAGCTGTTTCCAAAAAGTCTAGAAAGGATATTCTTAATTTTCTGGCACATTGAAAAAACGCACTGCGATAGGCTAACACAAACGACGAAAGTGGTCGGACGAATCAGTGAAAACGATAGTTCACCGTAGAACAAAATTTACGACATCCACATATTTCACTTGTCTTGCATCAGTATGCAGAATTCCAGTGAATTCGGAACTAACGGTACCCATTTATCGACTTCGTGTGTCCTTCCTCTAGATCAGGGCCGCTCAGGAAGCCGCTTTGGGAGCAAGAGTGCTCTTTTTGCCCCGAGTATAGCTGGGAGCAGCAGCCGAAGTAAAACGTCGACAGCCGAACAACGGCAGTGGTAGCAGTGTAGGCTCGTAGGTAAGCATGTGTTGGTGCGTTCGTGAGGCGTTTCGTACTATTGGTTACTTTTTTCAACACGTGCCTATCTTCGAAGCATAGTTCTCACTCTTGAGTCGGGCGATTACTACTATTGTCCAGCAAAGCAAACGTGAAGTCTCTGACGTCACAGCCTGGCCAGATGAAGGCAAAATAGGCGGGTCAGGTCATCCCCACTACTCTTGGGTCTTACACTGCAGGCGTTTGAGGGGAAGTTGCATTGTAGGTAAATGGTTTAGACAAACAAATTTTAGTCAGCTGTCGATAATGTAGCACGCTGATAAAAGAACGGAAAACTAAAAATTATTTAGTCGCCTCGTCCTCTTACCTACGTTGGAGCGCAAGGCACGTATTTAATAGCGCAGACGTTAATTTCTAAGCGACTCATACACAATAAATTGTTATTGTAAAGGAAGCCTCAGGAAATGTATTAATATTCTTTAACAGATAGAAAATTGAAAGATAAATTTTTTTTTTATTTCTGAATAATAAATTTTCCTATTCCTGAATAATAAAAGTAGATTTCGGCGCATAAAAATTGGTTATGAAGCCAAAAAGTTTCTGGTTGCAATGAAAAATAGCATGCCACCACAGGCCGACAGCCACTTTTTACAGCCAATGAAAACCATCAAACAGCCACTATTTAATGTTAAAATTTAACAAAATCAGACATGTCATCATTTTAACCGTAATATTTCGGCTTTGTTTAAAGATTATACTTCGACCTTGGGCTAATTTCATAGCAATAAACATAGCAATAATCGCTGCTAAAGTTTTAATTGCTGATTTGACACTGTTCCCACATGAATAATTTGGAAAAAATGCCATTGGATTGCTTGAATTTTAACCTGTAAAATAAGCTTATCAAAATGATAGAGAAATTTTAGGAATATGGGAAAAAAAAGTAAAGTTTACCATGATGCACGTCGTTTGGCGTCGCGCAGGCATCTGTTCGCCTGTTTATGGTGTCCGCGCGACGTAAACTTTATTTTTTTTCGAGCGCTCGAAATTATCATTCCGGTCAATTATCGGCTGTTCATCTGTTTACCGACTGTTCGAGCGAGACTCGATCGTCACCTATTGTTCATAGAAGAGTAAGTGCGATAGCCTTATTCTACAGTGATTGGCTGACTAATAGGGAAGACCTAAGAGTAACTGCGATAGCCTTATTCTGTCCCTATTGGCTTACTAACAGCGAGCCTTCGCAAGTTCCCCTACATCTCCTACTTTTAGGCTCTAAGTCCCGCTTGAGACTTCACATTTGCTTTGCCAGACAATACATTTATACAATGCCCCATCACAGGATCGCTACTCAAGTAGGCGCAGTCTACTGCTCCAATATCGCTCCCATGTTTCTGTTTGTCTGATCATTTCATATAGTGCAACTTCGTGAGCGGACTTGCTATAGAGGGATTTTTAAAGAAGGCGTGGAGAAAGTGAACGCCACTCTGACTTAAAGATTCTATCACAATACCACTTTGTTATGAATGGAAAGAAAACGCTGCTATTAGTTAATTTACTGTTTTTGTTTGTCATTGAAAATTGATGAAATTCAAACTCACGATATCTGAAGAAAGTACACCTTTAAAAAAAACATAGGACAATAGGGAAAATGAAAAAGCACTTGACATAGCGAAATTCAGTGTTCCAACATTGAACAAAAACACGTGTTATGGTGAAAAACTTTGAAACACTTTCAGTACAGCTTCTATTGACAACAGTCGAGAAGTTTTATTAATTTCTCATACATTTATTTTTAGATTTTAATACGATTATAAATAGAGTAGGAATCGGGGTTGTAGAAAACCAGATATATCATTATTATTTAATTTTTTTCACTCGCTCTCCGGTACACAATTATTATTTCGTTCATTTTCTTGGACACTCTGATTCACACTGCTCGTTTGGTGATCGGCATCTAATGGTTACCACGGCGATCCGATCATCAGGTGTCAATCACTCGTTTATCCACCTATGTACATACACGCACATACATATGCAAGCTTGTCGATCGGTCACTAACAATAAGTCAGTGGCCAAGTAGATAAACCAAGACGAACAGCTGAGTGGACGACGGCCCTGACTTTCTTGACAGGTGTCGTGTCCAACAGTAGTGTTAGTACTAGTTTTACGGTCATTCTCATCGTGTATGTTTATATTATTAGCGTTATTCTACGTTATTGTAATATTAGTATGTTGTTACTAGTGCTCTGACATATATGATACTATAAGTGTTATAATTATTAGTACATATTTGTGCATTTTAAAGCAGTGTATAACAAAATATAATTACACAGTCTAAAATTCATAAAATACATAATAGACCACAAAGTTGTGTATATAATGGTGGACAAATAGAAGCTGGTGGATGCACAAGAATTTTGCACGACATAAATGAAAATGGCAGTGTCCTGTGGGTAAGAAGTAGGAGGTATATAGAGTCTGTGAAAACATCAAATTGGTGAGAGAAAATATTATTATTATATTTAATATCGGAACATTTACTTTTTATATAAGTTTGCTATACATATATTAAATATTGTAAAATGATGGGTTTGGAAAGTTCAATGATTAACACCTATTTCACAACGTTTCTTTCGAATTCTGCTATTGAAGATTTACAATTTGGTTAGGTGGGGGAAAAAGGATCACTTAGTTCAGGTGTGTCTTTCTACTTAGTGCATCCTTTAAATCTTGCTATCCTTTTGAACCCTGTTTGCGTAGGGGCACGGATACCGTTATATCGAGCGTCTGTCACGCGGCTAAATCGTATCGAATGGCAGAATGGTAGTAGGTCCCTAGTCTATACGTATAACTCTACACAATCAAATCGTTGTCAAATATTTATCAACGTTTATCTCGACAACTATTTTTTTTATAACATATGGCTCCTTTCAAATCCTTTCATGTGAAAAAATTTAACATTAATTTTCAATGTTATAAAGAATTTTGCGACGAGGTTTTTTTTAGAAATGTCCACTCATCCAGAGGTTTAGATTCATACCCTAAAGTCATGGCCATTAATTTTTTTACATCCTGTACAGGTAAAATGTGTTTCTTTTAATTCTAACTGTGTTTCAGATATGGACCCCATTCTGTTCAGTTTTCGTGTGAAATTCTATCCACCGGATCCTCTGAGGCTGAAGGAAGAAATAACAAGGTATCAGGTTTATCAGCAGCTGAAGAGGGATCTTCTTCATGGACGGCTATACTGCAGTCCAGGTGAAGCAGCGCTGCTGGCGGCGTGCATCGTGCAAAGTGAGTAGATTTTTTGTTTAGCATATCTTTATGAAATACAAGATTATTGTTAAATAATCAACGGCATTACTTTTTATAGCTGGGAAAAGCATCTAAACTAAAGATGTTAAGTTTGTAATTGTTTCGTTCATCACTGACTAACAAAGCGGATATTTGTTTCACATGGATTGGTGCTATATCGTTTTATTATTTTATTTAAGTAGTTTAAAAGTCATATTATTTGAAGGACATTTACTTAAACTGTTTGGACAATTTAAGCAGGTCAACCCCGAACACTATCTGAGCGATTAAAAATTATTGTATCAAATTCGTATACAGGATGGCTCGTGTAACTAAAAACATTTTAATACACAAAAACTCGACGATCAATTTCAATACCCTATTGAGTAAGTCAACTTATTCACCGTTGACATATATACATTTATTTATTGTAAGAATAAAATGATGTTAAATACGAGACAACATCTCGAGAGTTCCTGTGGCAAACGTCACTCTTATTTTCAGTTTCATGCTACTCTTCGTAGTTGATTGTTTAAGTATCATTTTTTCTTAAACATACTCACCAGTAAGCAAAAAATCACGTGGTGAGAAATTAGGGGATGTAGGTAGAAATAGAAGCAAGTTCTGCTTTTATAGTGTGAATAATAATTTGCCAATTAGACGTGCAAATACAACAAAAAGCAATCATTCGGTAGTCTTGAGGAAAAAATTAAAGTGTTTGCAAATTAATATAAATTATTTGAATTTAGTAACACAATTGAAAACAGAATGTGTTTCATTCACTCCTACCCATTTTAGAGGGCAATTTCTACAATTCAACAGCTATGGCGGTTATCATGTGTTCGGTATTAATAAGTGTTCCGAATGCGTAAATTTCATTAAGTCATGCGGTTAGCCAATCTTAAACAAGAATCATAGTTTTTAACACTATGTCTAAATAAACCATATCATTATTAAAAATAAACTTTACAAAAACATTTTCAACGGTATAACTTCAGAAACTTTATAGCTTCAACGTACCTACCACCAATAATTGTAAGCACGTTGTAAAGGGTAAGCACGGAAACAATTTAGAAATGCTTTCGAGTAATACTCACCCGAATGAATATACAAAAGTTCAAGTGGAG